TACTACAAAATGGTCCTTCATTAATATCCCCCTTATTTGTTATGTTTTGTCAGAGATGGATGTTCCACTGCCATTCAAATATTGTGGGTGTGTGAATTCAGCAAAATAATCTAATATAGTCCAATAGTCCATAATAGTAGTGGGTTATCAGTAGAACTGGCAATGTCAGAAGTTGTTGACTTGAGTCTTTTACAGCTCAGCACCTAATATGATGTCTTTAACTCTTTGGGGAAGATATCTAGAAGGAAAAAAGCTGGAAATCTCTATGTTCTAGGTTTTTTGAGGACTCTCCATACTGATTTCCATAAATGTACTAGTTTATATATCAGGATTTATGATTTGATTTTTTTTGATAATTGCTATTCTTTCTGGAATAAGATGGAATCTTGGTATTGCTTTAATTTGCATTTCTCTAGTAGACAACGACATTGATCTTTTTCTCATGTGTTTATTGGTCATTACTCTTCCTCTGAGAAGTGTCTATTCATTTATTTGCCCATTTTTATGTTTTTTTAGTTTTAGGGAGTCTTAATGTTTTGAGACAGACTCTTGCTATAAATCCTGGCCTCAAACTCAAAAACAATCTTTTTGCGTTAGCCTTCTGAGTTCGGAATTATATATAGGTATGCACCACCATGCCTGAAAGTCTTGGTATTTTTGAATTGATTATGTATTCTAGATATTAGTCTCTGACTGAGGAATAGCTGACAAAAAGATCTTTCCCATTTTGTAGGTTGTCTCTTTGTTGGTTGTTTCTTTTGCTGTGCAGAAGCTTCTTAATCTGATGATTCCATTTTTAATTCTTAATATTATTTCTTGTTTTGTTGGGATTCTGTTCAGAAAGTTCTCACCTGTATGTCTATGTTTTCAAGACATAGTGATACCTATTTTATCTCTCAGCAGATTCTTTGTTTTAACTCTTAGACCTTTGATCTGTTTTAATTTTAGTGTAGTATATGATAAGAGATATGGGTCCAGCTTCAATCTTCCCATATATAGACATTCAGTTTTCCCAGTACCATTTGTTAAAGAAGCTGTCTTTCCTTCATTGTAGGAACATGACTACTATTAATCCTCAAGGCTCTCCAAGTCTTTTTCTTCATAAAGCCACATCTCTAGAATATCATTAACATGTATGTATCCACCCATGTACATGTGCATACACATGCACATATATAACTAAACACATATGTTCATATAGTGAATCTTTTTTTTTTCCAGAACTGGGTATTGAACTCAGGCACTTGTGCTTGCCAGGCAAGCACATATTCTACTGAGCTCTCTCTCCACGCACCTATATAGTGAATCTTGAACACGAGGTAAAGGCAGATAAAAGAGGCAGTCTGATGAAAAGTAACTTTAAGTTTTTAACATTCCTTTTATGCATTATATTATTCCATACCTTTTATATCAAAATCAACTATGCAAATTCTTTTGAGTTTGCAGCTGCTTGTTAATTAATGTGTAGTTTCTTATTCAACGATGAAAATTAGGCAGCCTACTTGTGTTGTCTCTTTTGCTGACTACCAGTAGCCGCTGGCTTTATTTTCATTTCTAGTACTTGTTTATTTTCAGGTTTCTGATACAAGTTATCTACCTTTCTTGTCTTTTCCCAAGTCTTTATTTTTCTCTCACATCTTTCTGTATGTCTTTTTATTATCATGGGCTATATTTTACAATATTTATGTCTTTATGTCCCAGATCCCTTTTAGACATGGGTGGGCATAAATTTATTGTTATTAAAGTCATATGACACAGTTATTAATCAGCATCAGCATCATCAGCTTGAGTGTTCAAAGGGTTATCCATTGCTGTGTTTATAGCAAAGGCTGCATAGTTCTGTCCTGCCTTTTGAACTGTTGACAGAGATAAGTGCCAAGGAGTCAGCACAGCACTTTGTGCTTCCCCTCTCCCAAGTGACTGCCTTACAAGCCACCGTGTACGATGGCAGGCCTTCCTCCCCTGCCCCCAATTACTAGTTGATGGAATACAGCTGTTCTTTTCTACCAGCACTCTCCTTGGCCAGAAATAAACTTGTTTTTATTCAACTGACTGACAAAGAATCTCAAAGAGCCAGTAATTGATATGACGTTAGAAGCAGCATGTATTTAGAAGACCAGATGACAGGCATTCCAAACATGGCCCTAGTGGAATACCCATCTCTGACAAAACTAAACAAAAAAGGGGACATAAATGAAGGACCATTTTGTATCTGTATATACAGAATAGTTAGGATAGATATACAGCTACTTTCTCTTAATTCAATGAAAAGGAAGATTTGTACTAATAGTGTTTGGACAGGATATCATGTCTGCATCTTGTACTATGAATAACCACTACAAAGACAACAATATGCAATGTATTAATTATTGAAACTGTCCTACTAACCTGTTTTGAACCTTTTTCACTGCTATTTGTTTCTCAATAAAATTTTTTTAAAAATCTCAAAGAGCCAGGGGGCTTCTGCTAGCAAGTACATAGTTTCCTTGTGTACTTATGCTACTCTCATGTTGGAAACTTTATAGCTTTAATTTTTTGACACTCAAATACTAACTGCTCTTTCCTCTACTGTATATCTTCAAAGAGAATAGTGGAGAAATTTCATCAATTTCAATAGCATTGAAAATATTTTTCTAGCAATCTCAGAGTCCCTTGCCCCTGATCTCAGGCCTGTTAGCCATTGTATGGAGACAGTGTTCATGTTCCGTCATTTTCCAGTGGCAGAAGAATTGGTAGATCCCTGGGCAGCCAATTCTATAAACTGATCCTGCAGCTTCTGTGGCAACTTCTGCTTGAACCCCTCTTAGTCCTTGACAAGTGGAATTCTCAGAAACAACTCTGCCTATTTCTTATCACACTGGCTATAGCTTGGCTTCAGTAATATAAACAATTTGGGTTTGAGAGAGATGTGGGCAACTATTGTGTAATTTTACTTTCTTGTGAAATAAAATACAATGTCGTGAAACTATTTCTTCATACACCTCCCAACACCTGATAATACTTACACAATAGTTTAGGTAAGCACTGTGATGTTTTTTCCTGATAGAAAAGAATCAGCTTCTGTCAATTTCACCACTGAACCAGTCTCAGGAAGATTATTTCAAGTGTAATGCCTTTATTTCTACAAGTTCTATTAACTGTTGCTCTCCCCATCATTAAACTATAGATATGGTTTCTTCCTACCTGGCACAGATTCCTACTAATTCTCCAATATTTTCCGTTCCCTTCTTTGCAGTAATATATTTTTCTCTGGAGGAACATTTCTGCCCAACTAAGCTCTATGTTACCTAGCTTCCCTTGCTTCTAGATATGGTGACCATTTAATTAAGTTCTATGCATTGAAATGGAAGTGGAGTGACTGGCTCCCACTTGCCACTTCTGGCCATGTCATTAAATGGAAAAGAAATGCCTTCTTTTCTACTTATCTATTTCTTCCTAGTTGGAGTATGAATCTTAGTGCAGCAGCTACAGCATGAGATAGAAGCCGTGTGTTGAAGATGACAAAGCAGTGGGGA